AGGCTGATTCGGCTGATTTTCTCTGCTTTTGAAAAAATGGTCTCCTGGCTCGCCACATGGTTCCCTACTTCTCTGCGCTCTGGCCTTCCGCAGCAGGACCTCCACTAAACATTTTAGCGTTGCGTGACCGAAATTGCGGTGTTCCCACCCCCCACACCAACTTTTCTCTTCCAGTATGACCCCTCCTCAAGAGTTCCTTACTTCCAGTGCGTTTACCTTCCAATCTTACCGAATTCTCGCAAATCTGAACAGATTTTCCAAAACTTCACCAATCCTACCCATGAAATTCGCCGTGCTGTGAAAGGGGTGAGGGAACGCAGGCGCGTGAAAAAAAACATTAAAAATCAGAATTATTTCTCTTGCAGCTCGGGAAAATTCTTCCAGAGGCCAGATGCGACCACTGCGATGAGATTCTTCCAGCGATGCTGCACCCTGTCGTAGTGCTGGAGGAGACTGGCAGAGGAAGGGCGTCTCTCTAGAACGAGAACGTGTCTTGTACCGAGCTCAGGGCTTAAGGTCCCTAGCAGATCGAAGCCTAAGGTGTCTAGCGGTGACAGCCGCACCTGAGATAACACAGCTTCAGTCACTGTCCACGCAGATACCGCATCTTTGGTGCAACACCACACCGCTCCGGGAAAGAACAGTCCCTCCTTTTCATCAGTGGTGCAGAAGAAAGACAGGGAGGCTGCTTTAGGGCCACTTTAGCTCGGTTCTTGAATCAAAACCCAGGAAGCCTTTGAGGGTGCACTAAGGATTGAGCTGGGTCGCCTTCTCCTTCGAGCAGAGAAAGCCAGCGAACAGTTGGAGATTTCCAGGTTGGGAGCCAAGAAACAACCGCGGCGACATGCCCTACTCCGCCTGTATTTCATGGTTGACAAAATGGAGAAAATGAGGAATGCGCCAATTGAGGCCGATCACTGGCCCGACCAGCAACATGGAACTAATGGTAAGGCATTAAAATACAGGGCTAAAAGAAATAAAACAAACATGTGAATGGGTTCTGGAACCACCAAATCGACACTACCAGCGACAGGAACTTCCTCAGAGTGACCACAAGAGT